GTTCAGAAAAGCAGGGTGGTTAACACTTCTGGTTAAGCCTCCTCTGAGTAGCTGGAAAAATCCTAATTCTCTTTTTTGTTTGTTTGTTTTTGTTTTGCTTTGCTTTTTGAGACAGGGTTTTGATATACACAGGCTAGCCTTCAACTCACAATCCTTTTAGCTCAAGCTCCTGAGTGCTGGAATTACAGGTATGCACCACCATACCCTGCCAAAAATTCTTGATTCTTTAACATAAACAATCACATTCACTTTCGCTTCTCCTCCTTCACGTTTTCCATTTCTTCAGTTTTTAAGGTGTGATCTAAACTCTCCTCGACCTCAATGCTATGGCATGGGACCTGAACGTTTTCAGATACAGTATCACAGAGTAAGGACCGGTCTTCACACAGGGAGCAAGTGTGTAAATCAATCCACACTGCAGCATTTCAAAGCCATCTCCTTCAAACTCCTGCAAGAATACCTGAATGCTATCATGATGTCTACATCCTAATTCTAAATTGCACTGAGTACTGCCCTGGAAGGGAAGGATCTTTCTGGAAAAGTTGATCTCTTCTTCAAAGTTGAGTCCTCCAAACTCAAGGAGCACATGTCACCGCTCAGGAAGTGAAGAGGTACATCCCCAGTAGGGACACCCATTAAATGTCACTGTGGTCAACAGTGGTCACACTATTCCAGCAACTTGGCCTTAAGATCACTACAGAGAAGGGGTCTCCTTTTCTGGGGAACCCCTACTGAGCATGAGAGTCTATATTTTCTCTCCTTTTTGATCCTTAAAGATGACACCAGGAGAAAAGGAGTTTTAAGAGGTAAGGAAATAGAGGGCTGGGGGCATGGCTCAAATGGTGAAGCACCTGCATAACAAGCAAGAGGACCCTGAGTTCAAATCCCACTACTACCAAAAAAAAAAAAAGAGAGACACAAAAGCTACTGTGACATACTTGGAGCCATCATGAAGCAGAGAAGCCAGAGCAAAGACCTGACTCTGGAAAGTACTAAACACTGAGCTGTGCACTTCACAATGGCTCAGATAATAAATTGTATGTAATGTGTATTTCACACAATAAAAATGATGAAAATAAAAAACACAAGCAAAGTAGCAATGTCATTTCTTTACACCAGGTATAACCTCTGGTCTCTGAGCTTTGCTTTGAGCCTCTACTAGGTGGTTCAGTCGTGACCTTGGGTATTCTGGCAATAAGGAAAACACTACACTTCACATCCAACTTGACCTTTTTGAGGAGCTGCCCATGTGGCCTGCTTTCTTTTGTACTTGGTCACTCAATCATTTATTCACTCAGTGGATATTTACATAAATCTTCCATGTGCCTGACACAGCTCTGAAGCTGGTACTTGGTCCTAAGGCACCCAAATCATTCCACACCAGTCAGTAAGAACTGCTGTTCCTGCACCTGCCTCACTCCACACTGGAAACCTAGCGTGCTCCTGGATTTGACCACCCACTCTGGACTTGACCATGATTCAGCACTGCCAGAAACCTCCAGGACTGCCTCGGCTTTATGGCCAGCTTCCAATTCAACTAGTGAATGCCTGGACTTAACCCCTTCTTAAATATTTTATCATCCTCTAGACACAGGACAGATAAGATCCCTCCCCTCTAGACTGGGGAAGAGATAACAGACAAGGAAATGCAAAAACAGACAAGGCAGTTTCAAATAATGGAGTGTTGTAAAGAAAAGAAAAAAGCCAAGGACTAGAGGTTAACTAAGGGTGGTAGCAGATGGGAACTTTAGAAAGAGGCAGGCATGCAAAGGTCTGAAGGAAAAACATTCTAGATAGAGGGAACAGAGTGAGAGTTTCACAGCTACACGGCCAGCACACTGGAGGACCTTGAGCAAGGAGACCACAGAGGTACACAGTGTCTGATCAGAAAGGCTTGGAGTGGCACTGGTGAGGAAGGGGACTTTGATGCCAAGAACAGCGGGCAATCAGATTTGAAATGGGGTAATGATCTAATTTATATTTTCAAAGACCACTCTGACAATTGTGTGGCAAGAACATAAAACAAGAACGAACGAACAAAGCTGTCATGATAATCCAAGAGAAAAATGGCAGTGGCTTGGGGTGGTGACCGCACAGTTGGAAGATGAGTTCTGAGGGCTTAGAAGAAGGGCTGACCAAACTTCCAAGTGAGGAGAATGTGGGGCCGGTAACAAAAGAACCCAAATGACCACCAGGTTCTGATTTAGCAAGTCAGTGAGAGATGATTTACGAAGGGATTACTGGAGAAAATGAGTTTGGGAACCAAGGGGAAAGTCCCATCTTGCCACGGTAAATTTGTTATAGCATTGAGATACGCAATGCTGAGCTGAAAATTGGATATTTGATCCTTAGAATAGTTCTGTGAAGACTCTAAGGCGATAAACAACAGGAATGTAACACAGGTCATGTTGAGGGGAGGGGACAGCGGGAGGAGGAGGGGACATGAAGAGGCAAAGGAGGGTGACTGTGGCTGAGGTGCTTTCTGTAATGTATGAACATGGAACACTCCAGTCCAAGTCATTTCAAGAAGGGGAATGGGAGAAGAGGGAGAATAAGGAAGGGGATGAACCAAACAGGGGATGTAGGTTTGGAAATGTCACAACAAATACCCACTGTATAAGTATCATAGTAAAAATGTTGAAATAATAATAATAATAATTCTGTGAAGTAGACAGCAAAACCCAGGTGTTTTCCAAATTTTACCCTGGGGAAAAACTAGGGTTCAGAGAAAAAGGATTGTCTCAGTACAAAATAGTTTTATGAGTCATTGTCCCTTCAAAGAAAGTTGATTCCACATTTTAAGAAGGGGATCACTTGCACTGTTAGGGATTTTTCCTGATACAAACACACCTATGTAATTTGTCCCATAGGCAAGAAAAGCAGATATTGGGGGCAAGGGAGAGAAAGGGGAGGGAGGAGAGGAAGGGAAGGGAAGGGGGAAGGGAAGGGGAAAGGGAAGGGGGGAGGAAAGGGGAGGGGAAGGGGGGAGGGGAGGGAAGGGGAAGGGGGAAGGGATGGGAAGGGAAGGAAGAAGAGCAGAAGATGGATGACCTCTTCTTGATGGCGATCCTTTATGACAAAAGGTCCACAAGCAACATTCTCACAAGCATCACAAAACCCGCAAGGAAGATGCTCCTGTTTACATAGCTTACATCCAAAGATTGGTACAGGTGCTCCCTGTTTTAGTCACAGTGTCAGTCATCACTTTCAAATGAGCAGCGATTATCAATGCAAAGTGGGAAAAAAAGGATGTCTGCGAAATTCAGCCACCAGTGCTTCCTGAACGCTCCTGCAAACACATACACTCTCAGAATAAAGACATCAGCCTGCCTGGCACTGCAATGAATTCCAGCATCCTAAGGATTGGAGGGAAATGTAGGGGTCATCACGTCCAGACCCTCACTTTAGAGAGAGGAAACTAAATAGAGCTAAGAAAGACAAAGTGACCCGGTCCAGCATCCCAGAGCCCTTCACAATGAAAAACTCCTGTTTCTTCTGATGCTTAGCCACTATCCCTGGTACCACACCATGCTGTGTTCAGAGCACGAGGATAAGAGAGCCACTGGGAATGCCCAAAGCTTTACTGCAGGACAGCGGGGAGGAAGGGGACAGGGCGGAACCCTCAGTTCTAGAAGCAAGGCCTCAGCCCGCACTCTGGTGTCAGGTGGCCACTCTTCCCAGCCCAAGCTGTCAACACTCACAGCCTTCCAACAGAACCACTGGGTCCCCCACCCCAAGCTTTGTGTTTGATGTGGCAGAGGGTCATGTCTACTATTGAGGTCCTCAGAAGATGGTCCTGAAAGGTCACAAAGTAGCGTGCTTCAGGCTGTAGAGTAACACGGGCCCTCCCCAAGGACAAAGGGGAATGTCACTCTCTCCCGGCCTGTGACCAGCAGACTCCACGCTGAATAGTACACGTGCCCCTGAAAAGCTGCTCAAGGGTACAAGGACATTTTAGGCTTGAAGACGTCTGCCTTCTAACTCTGCCCAGTCCCTGCAGATAGAGGAAATCCAGCCAGGTGCCTGTGGCTCACGTCTGTAATCCTAGCCACTCAGGAGAAAGAGATCAGAAGGATCTCAGTTCAAGGCCAGCCCAGGCAAATAGTTCAAAAGCCCCTAGCTCAAACATACCCAAGATAAAAAAGGGCTGGCGGAGATGCTCAAGTGGTAGAGCACCTGCCTAGCAAGCAAGAGACCAAGAGTTTAAACCCTGGTACCAAAAAAAAAAAAAAAAAAAAAAAATCCAGAAACTGCAGCAGATTCACTGGAATTCACACCAACATTGTGCTTACAGAGAACATTTCTACTCAAAATTACGTTCTTAAAATCTTATCTAGTTACTAGAGAAGCTATAATATATGTGTGTGGTTTCTATTCAGCTTTCCAGCTTGCGAACATTTGCATAGATGAATAAATTGATTGGTTAAAAAAATAATAATGCTTGGTGCTGGTGGCTCAAGTCTGTAATCTAGCTACTCGGGAGGCTGAGAGCTGGAGGATGGAGGTTCGAGGCCAGCCACAGCAAACAGTTCTTGAGAACCCCCCACCTCCAAAATAACTAGAGCAAAATGGACTGGAGGTGTGGCTCAAGCGGAAGAGTGCCTGCTTTGCAAGCACAAAGCCCTGAGTTCAAACCCCAATGTCACCAAAAAAGAACAATCCTCTTTGCCAGCTAGGATTTCTTCTTCTTCCAAAAAAGAAGCCTTAGCATACCTTGTTAAATTTCCATAATACTGTATCTGACACACACACATTTTTTTTCTCCTGAAATGTCCTTGCTAGGTATTCTTTTTATTAAAACACAGCTACACGTTGCAGTTCCAAGACTCTCACTAGCTACCAGAAGAGAAAACCTAGAGAGTCCCCACTTTCCGTCCAGATCAGCTCCCAAGCTGCAGACAATCCCTCCTCCCCCAGTCCCATGGAAGAGTGGCCTGGACTTGTTGACAGTGTGGGCACCCCACTGAGCTGTCACAGAAAGCCAGGATGACTGTACTTACAGCATAGGCGCCGATCAGAAAGGCGGCATTGGCCCTTTTCCGTTGGTCAAAGCAGGTGTAGTGTACAATTTTCTTTCTTGACAAACTGTATGACTAGACAGAGGGAGAAAAGAGTGTCACCATAGAGATGATGTTCAAAGGACCATCTTCCCTGAACTTTCAAGATTCCCCACCTTTCCACTTTAATTTCTACGGTACTTGAACAGTTGGGGTGGGAGGCTAGTGGCTCACTTCTGCAGCCCGTGATGATGTAAAAACTGCCACCATAACAAAGGTGTGTCTCTCCAAGAAGGGAGACTGTCATGGTGGGAAAGGAGGTCATGACTTCTCTATCAGCAGACACCATTTCTATGATTTGTCCTCGATCTTCTATAACCTAGTGACACTTTTACTCCTCCAAGCCATTCCCACTCCCAGGGTTAGTCATTTGTACTTATATTTTACAGTTTGTATTAACATGTGTCAGTCTGTTGTCTTCTCTGAAAATTTTCATTATTAGAGGCCAATGTTAATAGTTCCCCTCTAAGGTGCACTCTCTTCACCCCCTTTTAATTAACTTAACATTCGTGGTTACTGGGGGAAAAGAACGAGCCACCAAAAGGATAGCAGCAAACATCTTAATACATCAGCCATGTATTAAATTCATGATTTGAAACAGTCATTATGCACTTGCTGTATGCCAGGCGATATTGTTGCATGCTCAAGTACTTAACTAAATCCAAAACAAGCGACATACTATGTTGTATACATGCTAAACATGAAAAGAAGTGACAAAAAGATCCATTAGACTAAATCAAGTTATTAACCAAAATTCAAATCTAGAACAATGAGAACGCCACACAACTCAAATCTACTCAATGTCCTCGTATTTCAAAGTCATTTTGACAACTGGCTTTCCAAACACAGGCACTAGAACATTTTAATATTGTCTATAAATTCCTATTGACCATAAAAGTGGCTGTTTATACCTACGACATGAAGCACAGCCCATGGAGAATCCTTTATCGTGCTATTTTGTACACGAAAAGAAACTCAGAATGAAGCTATGTCATTCTGTTTTGACACCAAGTAGCTACACCCATCCCGGCTGTGATGTGTGAACCAAGAACTCTCACTACCCCGCTGGCACTTCTTCCATAACCACAAATCACAGTTTTCTGAGAACAGGAGAGCCCTTTTCAGCTGAACTTCTGAAAATTAGTGTTTGACTCAAAGAAGTCCCATTATCCATGCCTTTATTTCCTGACAAATTTATGAAGACACTCCTATGAAGCAGAGAAAGAGAAAAGTACATTTTATTTAATTCAGTTCAGTTGAGTTAATACACTGAAGTTATCCTAAAGAGTTCAAGGTTGCTACCAGTGGTGTTGACACCTGACTATTTGTAACTACATTTCCTGTCCCTATATTAGTCTACTGTTCATTGGCTGATTGATTTTGCCCCTTATTGTTCTCCATCAATAAGTTATATTTGATTTACCAAAAGGGAAGAGAAGGCTCTTTAGACCCGAGCATCTCCCATCATCTCTGAATCCCAAATAAAGACTTCCCTACACACTCCAAGCTCTCTACACACATCAGTCACACCCCACCACAATCTATCTTAACGTCTGGATTATCTGTTTGGATGCATTTTTCTACTAAACTATGGCTGCGGTTTAACGATGTGGAGTTGTATTTATTTTGCAAATTTACTCATCAAAAGTCACAATATGCTCATTTCTTGGTTGTGTTTGTTTGTAGGAGGTCATCTGTTTGTTTTGGAATTAGCATGTTTTCTTGTTTGTCGTTCTCTTTCTCTCTGTCTCTTGTCCTAAATTATACAGGACACAGAAACTACCTTGGGATGGAACCATGGAGCTAGCGTATAGAACTCTGAGGAAGACTTTCTTTTCAAGTACATCTAGAAATGTTTTTAAAGTAAATGTAATACAAGTTAAAACTGCAAAGACTTTACAAGAATTTCTTAAGCTATGCAAGCTTTATTACATCAGATAAAGAATGGTCTCCACAAAAATCTATCTAGAAATTTGAAGTATTTGAATGTTTCCTTGGGGGAGCTGCCAACAAACAGGAAGCATACAGCTGACTTTGGTTGGCTTGTGGATTGGATGGTTGGTTGGTTGGTTGGATGGATGGTTGGGTGGTTGGTTGGCTGGTTGGTTGGTTGGCTGGCTGGTTGGTTGGTTGATTGGTTGGTTGGCTAGTTGACTGGATGGCTGGTTGGTTGAGAGCTTAATGCCTGACTTAAAGGAAAAGTGTTTGAAACATTTACCTGGCTCAGATGTTTTTAGAAATATAATTTATTTTTTCAGTTAAGAACAAAAAGTTCTACAACCAAGAAATGATCTTAGAGAGGTCTGGCCTTATCTCCCAGGTCAGATCACAGGAAGTTGAGTCCTCACTCAAGGAATCAAAACTAATTCAAAATAAATGATGACACAGAAATCTTATGTTCTCAGGTCTGGTCCTAATTCCCTCCTTGCCACAGCCCGGCTTCCCTCTTATAGGTCACCTGCCCATTAGCTCTGCCCCAGTGCTGCTGCTCAAGTATATTCTGGTACTGATTTCAGGAATAATAAAACATTTTTTCAATTATTTAACTGATGTTTTAATGATTGGGCTGATATACACAACTCTTTATAATGTCCTTTTCTTTCAATGTTAAATAGACCCTCCCTTTAAAAAAAATAAATCAGGTCTGTACTCCTAGCTATTTGGAAAGCTGAGATCACAGTTCCTGGCCAGCCAGGCAAAAAAGTTCACAAGACCCCATCTCAATGGAAAAAAAGCTGGGAGTACTGGTGCACACCTGTCATCCCAGCAATGGTGGGAAGCATAAAACAGGGGGCTTGTGGTCCAAGCCAGCCTGGGCAAAAAGCAAGACCCAAACTCCAAAATAACCAAAGCAAAAGGGGCTAGAGGATGTGGCTCAAGTGGTAAACAGCCTGCATAGCCCTGGGTTCAAACCCCAGTGCTGCAAACAACAACAACAACAAATCTTACACAAATCAAAGCAGCCTAGAAGAAACCCCATGCAGTAGCAACACTAGTGACTGAGGTACGTTTAGGACAAAGAACTTCACCATGGGGGGGGAGGCAGAGTCTGCAGACAACAGGACTGCTCTATGAATGAGCCCTGCAGACATCTTCTCAGATTCCACCCCATGCCCTGGGAACACCACGCCTCCCACTGACAGCTGCCTCTTCCTCCTCTGGTCTGTCTCTCCTGGCTCTTATGGGAGAACACTTGCAAAGTTATGCCATAAACTGGCTTTTGACGAGTTTCCTCCTTGATGACAGATTCTTCTTACTCAATGTGAGACGCTCAGAGATCAAAGGAACACAGCACGACAGCAAAGCAAAATAGAAACTGGCCAAGCCGAATCAAATGAACACAGTCTTCAATACAAAGGGCAGATGTCACAGCAGGAAGACCTCTGGCCTATTTGCCTGTCTGCAGCAAGGCTCTACAAGACCATTACATCATATTCTGATTGGGGATGGTGGTGCACAATTGTAATCCCAGCACTCAGGAGGCTGAGGCAGGAGGATCACAAATTAGAGGCCAGCCTGGGCCATACAGTGAGAAAGAAAGGGAAGGGAAGAGGAGGGAAGGGGGGGAGGGGAGGACACGAAAGATGGAAGGGAGGGAGAAGGAAGGAAAGGAAGGAGGGAGGGAGGAAGGAAGGATGGATAACACTCTACAGCCACTATCCATCCTGTATTTTAGATTTCTTGCTTTGTTTTTGTTTTAGGCAGTGCTGGGGTTTGAACTCAGGGCCTCACACTTGCCAGGCAGGTGCTCTACCACTTAAGCCATTCCACCAGCTAGATTTCTATCTTGAATCTAGCATATACAGCCTTCTGAACCTTCCTAACCTGAGTAGGCACAACCAGCCCTCTGTAACAACAGCCATGACAACAGCAGCAGCTGTCATTTAGTGGTCACTTGCTCCGGCCATCATTTTTCAAAGCCATAGAGACAGTGCCACATACAGAGCATCTCCTAAGAGCAAAGGTCCTGGGCCGAAATACAGCAAGCAGGACAACACAAGCCAGGAGCCAGGGAGCCGGGGCCTGCTGTGAACACTCGCCAGCCAGCGTGGGAGGAGGGGGAGACCCAGGCCCCTCACTGAGCTGTTCGTTTGGGCAAATCTCTATCACAAGACCATAGCGAAGGTTTGTGGTTTGGAATCTGTTAAATAAGTCTTGGCTTGAAATGGTCAAGCTTACTAAAAGTTGTTGGAAATAAAAAATGAACTAAATCTAAGCTCCATTTTATTTTCTTATTATATTACTATATCCTATTTCATTCCCCGCCCCCTTTTTTTTCCTTCTCTCTTATCTTGCTTTGTTTTGTGCTTTGTTTTTTGAGGCAGCATCTAGCTAAATAGCCAAAGGACGCCCTTGAACTCACACTGTCACCCAGGCTGGCCTCACACTCATGATCCTCCTGCCTTAACCTCCTAGATGCTAAGATTGATTACAGGCGTGCATCACCTTGCCCTGCTGGAGTGCTTCTGAAACCCTGAGTATTGCCCTTCCCCCACTGCCAGAGTGCTGATTGGGTGAGAACTGGGATGAGACTTTGCATCGCTGACAGGTTCCCTGGGGATGCAGATGTAGCTGGTCCAGGAACCACACACTGAAACCCACTGCTCTCAAGTTCTTGGTAAATTTTGGTTCCACACCTGGAAATGTTACAGATACTAAAACCTTCTTCATCTAGTCAAGTAGCCCCAAAAGAACTTTTAATTCTCCTATAAGGAAATTCCAAATCACGTCACACCTTTTAAAAACATGCTACAGAAAAAAAAAATTTCCCCAGATTCCTCAGAAACCCATCTTACAATTTGTAAATTCATGCAGTACAAGTGACACCACCTTGGGAACAAGTTCCTTTAAGGACTCCATAACCAGCTGCATGAGATGGAGTGATGGCAGAGGCCCCAAGTTCACACGCTCTTGGGGACCAAGAATTTGGAACTGGCAAACTAGAAAAGCATTTCCCATCCAGAGCACACTCAGCCCCCACCCTGCCATGCCCTTGCAGGAAACTGGCACCTATATTTAAAAGAAACCCCAAATCCAGAACTCTGTGTAAATTTTTGTAAGTCACAGATGTTGACTACAAATTTAAATTTTTTAAAACAGCATGCATGCCCAACAAAACATGCCTTTGGACCAAATGCAGACCATGGGCAATCAATCTGCTGTACTTGGGTGCCAGGACTCTGCAGCTGAAGAAAGCTGTGTGGGGTTCTAACAGCAGGAAGTGAGCAGCGCTGTGTGTCAGCCATTGGGAGGGAACCCCCAGTCTCTAGCCGGAGGTCTGCTCAGATCTGATGACTATCTGATGCAAAATACTGACCAAGGCAGAACCTCGTGTGATAAAACAGAAAAGTGCAAAGCATGGCTTTCAGGAACACCAATGAAAGGCATCACCTGAATTGCTTCAGCTAGCAAGGCAAAAGCAGGTAGATAAGGGAGGGGATTCCGTGTTGAACCCGTATCAATGTATCAACCCCGCAGAAACTTCCAGAGCTGCACTGCTCACCTGAGAGACAAAGTTTTACCATTTGCACCTAAAATCACAGTAACTACATATTATGTCATCTAATACTGAATGGTACTCGTAAACTGCAGTAGAGTGACTATGTGATGGAACAATACAAGCTAAGATTAGGATTGACGCCATACTATCTTCCACCTTGGAAAGAAAAGCTGTGACAGGTGACATTCTAGTGTAGTCACTCTATAAAAACCAAGCCCTGGCCACTCAGAGAGAGAGAAAGCAAGGACATACATGCTACCCAAGTAAGAAATAGCCCAGGCTGTCCTTCGATTACAGTGGCACACACATGTCATGCCCTTGTTCCGCTTAGGTCAGGAGACCACTATTTCCCCACTGAATAAAAAAGGTGGTGTGACCAAGCTCAAAACCAAAAGAAGAGTCAATGGTTCATTTAAGGCACAGATTTCACTAAGGTTGTCCACCATGCTGGAAAGGAAAGCTTGGAGTCGTTTGCTTGGTTCATGAGTTGAATGCAGCTGGAGGACTCGTGAGGCCACTTGGAAGACACTGACACAGCCAGCGGGAAAGCCCCTCCGACAAGATGGCGCCCATGCATGTCACTACACAAGCAAGCTGGCCAGTGGTGGTCACACGGAGCAGATCACAACCCAGGGAGCATGGTGACCATGACATCAGTCTTTTGCAGGTGACTGGGCCAGCCCAGCCATCCCACAGCAGCCACTGATAATGTCACTGCCAAAGCAACAGAACAAACAGGTTTTCCTGGGAGCAGCCATGACCTCTACAGGCTTTACCTCCAACCTTCTCAGCAAAGGGAAATTCCGGAAATTTTTCTTTGGCTGCACAGAACAAAATACGGTTGATGTTTTTATTTAGAACCAAGATAAAACATGTTGAATAGTTTCTTTAAAAAAAAAATGGTCTTCTTTGTCACCTGCCCGGTATGTTTCATCAATGACACATCTGATCACAGAAGTAGGAAAATGTCAGAAGGACTAATTGACCGTGCCGATGGTAAGAGGTGGAGGCATGTGGACTCTTCTGGCCTGAGGACTCGTGAGTGACCCCGAGGGTCCCCGCCTTGCAGGCGCTCTGTGCCATGTGCTCGCTGCCAGGTGACATTTACACTACATGAGCTAGCTCCACAATGCAGGCCACCGAAGCCCATGACCCTGAGACAAAAGGACTGCGTGCAGAAACCTCAGCGTGTTCTTGTAGCTATGAGAAGGGTCTGATCCTTACATCACAGGACGTCTCGGGGACGACCACCTGAGACGGTGGCACAGACGGTGGCAGGTGCCTGGCCTCCAGGCCTGATTCATTGGGCAAGGACACTCCCGGAGCCCCACACCTGCCAGCCACATCAGTATTTTATTTCATCATGTCCACTCCCACCCCCTTTCACCCTGAAAGGGCTACGTGGGATGGTTAATAAATTTAGAATTGCATGTCTGTGAATATTCTTTTAATTCTTTTTAAGACAGTCCTCACAATCACTGTAATTGTCCTGTGCACTCAGAATGGCAGGTGCTAAAAAGAAAGTCACAGCCCTAGAAAATCCCCCTCTTCAGCTTGTTTTATTTTTACCCACGCTGGAATTTTATGTTCCCTGAAGAAAAGTGAACTCAATAGCTAAAAGACTGTATTGAGTACTTTAGGAAAAGCCAGCTCAATCGTACTGTGTTAATGTCAGATATTAAATTAGCAATTGAAAGATTTTTTTAACCAACTAAATTAACAGAAGGTATTGTTTTTTTAACTAAATTAACAGAAGGTATTGTTTTTTAAAAATACCAGTAGGCCAGGCTAGCATGGTACCTGCCTGTAATCCCAGCACTCAGAAGGTGGAATGTAGGAGGATCTGAGTTTGAGACCAGCCTAGACTATATAGTAAGATCCTGTCTCAAAAAAACAAGGACTGAGGACATGGCTCACGTGGTAGAGAATCCACCTAGCAAATGCAAGGTCCTCAGTTCAAACTCCAGAGCTGCCAAAAAAAATTTAAACAACAGCCACATATGGTTGCTCACACCTGTAATCATAGCTGCAGAGAGAGGATCAAGGTTCCAGACCAGCCCAGGCGAAAAAAAAAAAAAAAAGTTGTTGAGACCCTATATTAACAAGAAAACTGCGTGTGGTGGTTCGTCTGTAATCCCTGCCACTCAGGAGATGGAGGCAAGAGGATTTCAGTCTGATGCCCCTAGGCAAAGCGAAAGACTCTATCTGAGAAATAAACTAAAGATAAAAGAGTCAAGGTGGTAGAGTTTTTGCCTAGCAGTATGAGACCCTGAGTTCAAATCCCAGTATCACTGAAAATATATATATTTATATAATTTGTCTTTTGATAAAAAGTTATGAAAAACATAAGTACACAGTATTTATGTTATGTCAGGATCTCTTAAAATACCAGATTAATAATTCCTGGTCTAGTCAATCAACTAGGAATAATATTTTACGTTAAATGACACCCGCACTGTGGCCCTTTGTTCTCTCTTCATCAGCGTCCCCTCTCTGATTGCGTCCTCCATCGTGCCAACTGCGGACCAGGACTGGCAGACGACGACCTATCACTGCAGGAGGCCCAGTGCTGCCGTGTGTTAAACCACAGGTTAAAGAAGCAGTCGGGGCGTCTGTTGCCGATGGCGCTTTCTGTTTGGGGCTGTTTAATCTAAGCAGACGTTTGGTGGCTAATTTTCCATTCTTCATCGACACGATTTAAAGCAAAGGCCACTAGGAACAGAACACACAAAACCGATCAGTAACTTGGAAAGTACCTTTTGACATTCAAGAAGTGAGAAATTTGGGGCTGGAATAGAATCCACAGCGAATTATGACTTTCTATATAAAGCGTCAAATCAGGGGGAGAAATCGTAAAATCTTTACTGGAAGGAAAAACCTGTGCCTGAAGAGTCGAGGAAATCCCGCAGGGACGAATTCTAAGATGAAGCCATTGGTTAAAGTAATGCCCAACTCTGAGCAGTGAAGGGTTTGAGGATCACAGGAATGCCATCAGATTCGGCGTCCAAGGTGTCACTAGAGCAGATTCCGTATGGAAGGGAAGGCAAAAGCTGGAGCCAAGGATTAAGGCACTGTGCCCAGCGAGGCAAGCTTTTCTCCTGAAACTTCCAGTAATTAAAGGACAGAAAGGGATCTGTACAAGCCAAGGAAATTGTGACAAGGTTACAGGTGCCTGTCCATTTGGAGACCCTGCACTGGGCACTGGGAACACAAAGACACAAGGCATGGTCCTCCGGGAAGTCAGCCCAGCAAGAAAGATGGACGTGAACTCAACACGAGCGATGTTATGAAAATCAGGTGCCGCTAAAGGAAGACCACATAATAGGGGAGGTGAAAGAAGGAAGCGGAGAAGGTAAGTGTGGCTGATGTACTCCTGTGCAAGATGAATATAGGATTTTTAAGGGGTTGAAACCACCATAAGAAATGGACTAAGGCAGGAAGCAGAAAAAGAGAGGGGATGAACCAATTTGGGTTTTAATACATCTATACATGGAAACATCACAAGGAAACACCCTGTATAGCTATATTAATCAAACAAAAATGTCATATTTTTTTTTTTTACAAAAATGGAGAACAGGAGGGTGGAACAGGTCCTGTCTGGAGTTGGTGCCAGTGGGAGGGGGGAGGATAGAAGGAAAGAGTGGAGGAAAATAAATATGGTGGAATATTATGTACTCATGTATGAAAATGGAAACATGAGACCTGTTGAAAGTAGTCCAGGAATGGAGGGGACGAATAAAGGATGGTGACGGAGGGGGTGAATTCACCATGATATATTGTAAGCACTTTTGTAAGTGTTACAGTGTACCCCAGCACAACAATAAAAATATATAAATAAAATAAGAAAAAAAGATGGGTGCAAGTAGCTGATTATAACTCCTCAAGAAGGAAGACCGGCACAAGAGGGAAATGGAGCATCCCCCACCAGGACCAGTTCTTAGAGAACAAGGAGTTAAGCCAGAAGGAAAGGGCATTCTGGTCAGCCAGGCGGCTGAGCCACTGCACAGAACAATCGGTGTGGCGTGGGGTGAAGTCCAACACTGGGTGTAGCCACAGCACCACAGCTGCCAGTAAATCAGTGCATGAAATCGTCCCCTGGGAAGATGGAGGATGGGGCTGACAGGGCCGACAAGCAAACGGGATGGAGGCGAAGTGCCCAGGGCCTGACCAAACTAAGCAGCCACAGGACGCCGGCGGGAGACATCAGCAGAGCACAGTGGACTGAGGAGAGGGAGGCTGGGGGTGTGGACGTGCCAGCGGGTGAGACAGAATCCACAGCAAGGTGTGGCCCCACAAGGGCAGTCCACACAGTACAGCCTGGAGTCTGGGTTCCCGGAAGTGAAGCAGCCAGAGTGGCAGAAAGTCACCAGAGAGGAAGAGGCAGAGGAGCCTGACGCAGACAAGAAGGTGAAGCAGAACAATGAGTAAGGGAAGACAGTAAAGCAGAGGCTGTGGTTTACCAGAGGCAGAGAGATGAACGTCAACTGTATTGAGAGACAAGAAGCTGGGTTGGTGGGGGGGGGGGGTGCATGCCTGTAATCCCAGCTTCTTAGGAAGCAGGGATCATGAATTCAAGGACCACCTACTTAGCAAGACCCAATCTAAAGGATAAAATAAAATAAAAGGACTGGGACATAGCTCAACTGGAAGAGCATTTGTCTAGCATGTGTGAGGCCCAGAGTGCAGTCTCCAGTTCCACTAAGAGAGAGAAAGAGAGAGATCTTCTAGCTCTGACTTCACCTTGCAACTGTGGGCAAGTCCTGGGCCTCCCCCAGGCCTTAATTTCTGAGAATTGGCCAAACAGTCCTTTCAATTCCTAAAACTATACTGGCCATTTTCCCCAGAGGGACATGACAACTTTAAGGTTGAGAAGAGGGTGCTCACTTCATGGAAGAATTGCCTACATGGGATTTTCTACCAGAAAATATAACTCACAAAAGTTACATTAGCAGCTTTTTTTGGCATATGACCTTCACCTTAACATTTACAAAGCTCTTACATGGGTATTTTCCAATTCAATCCTGACCACAATCCTGTGAGCACTCTAACTCCTGTTGAGACTCTAGCAGGGTGTAGTGGCTTACAGCCGTAATCCCTGATAAAACAGGAGGCTGAGATCAGGAGGATCATGGTTCTGAGGCAGCTTGGGCAAAACGTTCACGAGACCCCATCTCAACCAACTCCTGGATGTGGTGACATTCCTGTCATCCCAGCTATGTAGGAAAGCACAAACAGAAGCATCACAGTCCAGGCCAGATTGGGCCTGGCAGAGTGGCTCAAGTGGTAGAGCACCTACCTAGCAAGCATGAGGCCCTGGGTTCAAGCATCAGTATTGCCAAAAAATTTTAAAAAACAAAAACACTGAGAGTCCACAAGACTGAAGCAATTCCAACTTCAGATCATTGAAGTAAATCTTTTTCCTTAATACAGAGATTCTACTTGGCATGGCTCGCTGAGATAACCCAAGGCTCGTTAACGTCTGGTTTTGAAAAGTCAACCCTTCAGAAAGTCACAGAGAACTCAGTAATTGTGCTAAAGCTCAAAATGTCATTCCAGGCATCCAACTGACCGGGTGACCACTGAAACGAACTGAGGGACTGGCTGAACTTTGTGAAACTGCAAGAAAGCTTTATATGAAAGCAAGTCAAAGCAATCCTCGTATACACTCAGACTATTCAACACAGAACATGGCACAAAAGAGTCTTAATTCAGTCATGGACTCCTGTGCATAATAATGGTTTCTTTCTTTTTGGAAACTCTAGATAGTACATAGGTTCCAGATTACAACACCCAGTCCACACAACTACATGCTAAAATGACAAAGAAAGGAGGGAGGGAGGGAAGGAGGGAGGGAGGGAAGGAGACATTATTTAATGTCTTCCCCTTGTTAATTAAGTCATTAAAAGTTCATTTTAGAGCCAGGAGAATGGCTCAATTAAAGTATCTGCCTAGCAAGTGCAAAGCCTTGAGTTCAACCCCCAGTACCACAAAAAAAAAAAAAAAAGTTCACTTTATGGAAAAAGGACATTATTTACTTCTCTGGTGACTATGAAAAGCTCTGTTTTACTTTCTACACTACTGACAGTAGCTTTGTCCCTAAAATACATGGGTCTGGTTTAGTTAAAGGAGTTTACAAGTACATTTTCAAGTCAGACAATACTTTATGTGTTAATTCCTGGGACAGTTGATTGTAGTGGACTTATGTCACCTAATTTTTTAAAAGGTCTCTCTGGAGGCTGGGTGCCATGGCTCAAGCCTATGATCTTTGGTACTCAGGAGGCAGAGATCAAGAGGATCACAGGTTGAGGCCAGCCTGGGCAAAAAGTTCTCAAGACCCATCTTAGCCAATAAAAGCTGGGCACGGTGACACACACCTGCCATCTCAGCAATACAGGAAGTGTAACAGGAGGACCGATGCCAGCCCAGCTGAGACAGAAACACGAAACCCATTTGAAAAATAACCAAAGCCAAAAAGGGCTGGAGGCCTGGCTCACGTGGTAGAGTGCCTGCCTAGCAAGTGCAAGGCTCTGAGTTCAAGCCCCAGCACTGCCAAAAAGAAAGAAAAAGAAAATCACTCTGGTGTCATTACATGATAATCTGACACTTTGAGGTCAGTGGTAAAAATCTGTAAATTCATAAACACACAATGTATTCCATAGGAAATTCACCATCTGGCTGCCTTTTCTACCTAAGTTTAACAAAAAAACAACTCAAGGGCTGGAGTTGTGGCTCAAGGTAGAGCACCTGCTTAGCAAGAATGAAACCTTGAGTTCAAACCCCAGTACCACAAGAAAAAAAATGAAAAATAAAATAAAAAGACGAAAAGGACAATCTCTGATTGCACAGGTCACTGTTCCCTGCAGCAGCAACACTTGACCAACAGGAAAGAATAAAAGAGCTGAGCGTCCTAATTTTGCAGTTATGCTAAGAGAATAGCTTTAAGAGAATCTTTAAGATGGTCATTTAGAAGAAAAAAAGATAGACAAATGTTGCTTTGTATGTGATAAGTTTAATAAACCTAGGAACATAAATGTCACTTTTCTTCATTTGCCCAGAGTTTAAGCAGAAAAAAGCTACATAGCCAACCCCCACGTAAATACAGGAAATGGAACCAGATCCTCTGACCCGAATTCCACAATGGCAGGTAAACAGAGTTCATGCTGTCATTGTTAGTTCATCAATCTCACGTGGTTATAACGCAACAGAGGTGACGATTTCAATCTTGACCTGCCAGAAACCATTCTGCTCCACGCTGCAGCCAGGATGAGTCCTTTCATCACCTGGAAACTGTCTACGAACAGATGGGAGGGGTCAGAAAACATATCCCACGAGGGAATGGGATAGGGACTCATAACAACAATCAAAAAGACTGCTGCGCCAGTGACTTCCTTCAGGTCATATTGCAGTCCATCTGAAGAGTGAAAGAGGTCAGCACGTCCTCTGTGCAGATCAATTTTCAACATCTAGGTGAACTCCTCGCATCCACTTCCAAAGAACCTGACCGAAAATTACCTGACCAAATTCCACTGGGCAGGTTTCCTGGTTCAAACACAACACCAAAATGCAAACGGCATCGCAATACTCACTTTTAGTTTCTTGTTTAGCTGTACAGCAGTATCTGTACACCATTGCCAAGTTCAGAGGTCCAAAATCTGCATAGAAACTGAGAGATACAAAAAACACAGCATTTAGTAGAAGTACAGTTTTCAGTAACGTCAATGCTTATTTTTAACTTCATCAAATCTGCAACCAAATTGCAACTATTTTTAAGAATCGGG